ATTTTGAAGCATGCTTTTCTTCTCTGTATTTTCGTGGAGTTGAATAATGCGGCGGGCCGAATTAAACCACCCTTCCTCGAATCCCACACTCTAGAGTGCCCTACTATGCAAAAAACTGCAATTTGGGGCAGGACCTATGGGGTAGCGGGTGTTGTTTCGGAGATATGTTCGATATAATGTAAAATGAGGAAGTTAGAACCAGAGTATAGAAAAACGTTATACAATTACACAACACAACTAGAACTACCAATGCCATACCTGAGCACGATGTTGGTGGTCTGGATTTATAGTTGCCCATTGAACGACGTCATCGACGGTATTCACATCGCATATGGAACGTTTCCAGACCACGGGGATATGCGACCGTAGATGGCTGTGATCTACGCTGAAAACCGCACTCGTCACTTATTCACAGAGTCAACGACAATTAGTTTCAATTTCCTTCACTTGGTCGCAAACACCGACATGCAAAAAACTGATTAATTAAAAGCATGGTGAAAGTGATCAGAGCAAAGTGAGCGTGCTGTAAGGACGAGCGGAAATTGAAGTCTTCAAAATGTTTACGTTAGGTTAAACTGGTAGCTTTTTGAAAGGGCTAAAGACGTCGCAATGGACGGCGGGAGGTAGCACATAAGGGAGAAGAAGGGAATGACATCGCTGTGGGTTCTCTTAAAAGGTGAGGACTTCGAAGACGAGTGGGTTGAAATTTACCTCAGTTGAATGAAGACTTCAGCTCCACTGGAAATAGCCGGTTGAAGCTTACTTCTTGTGTGAATGTCTTGAAAGCGATGTTCCCGGCACGGAGGGATTTCGTACCCAATGAATGAAGTCTATCACAGAAGTTGGTGGGCAGAGCAAACATACAGATTGTAAAAAACGAAGAAGGCGCGTTTTATAAGATGGGGGTCTAGTGCACGAAATGCGCCTCTAAAAAAGCCCCCAAGAAGACGATTGCTGCTATAGTATAGTTCGCTGCGGATACTTGGGAAGGGTTTGGCCCGGGCGCCAAACTCAGCCCCCTGACACGCCTCAGACAGATTAGCCCAGATTTATATTTAGCAAGCTGGATTGATCGCTATTAAGCTCGAAAGACTCACATACATACAGACTTACAGTTTCTCAAGGTCACGGCTGTTGTACGTAAGTCAATGAAGAGCCCTTTACGGGCTCTCCTAGGAGAAGTTGACAATCCAAAAAATTACAGTCATTGTTCTTGGAAAAATGTGTTCTTATTCACATTATCTACTACCGCGGTTGGTTTGAAATGGCACTACAAGTATGAGCTTGGTATTCCCCAGGAGAAGATGAGGGAAGAGCAAACGACTAGAGACCTGATCATTTATAACCTATAGTGTTGCTAAATGATCAGGTCGACACAATTACTGAGGTTGAAAATAATAAAAAATAAGGTCCATGACTGTGGAATTTGAAAATATTCGACTTTAGCGAACAAAAAGTGCGTTTGTTCCATTTAGAGCTCGATATAGTGGCGGAATTTCGAAGCAAATAATAGGCTTCACTTGAAGAAAATACTCGATATGGTAGAGACCATCTCCACACTGGTAAGGGTCCTGAACATTTCTGTGAAGAAAGTCGCGGCGAATTTTCTCTACTGGACCAAAGATGAAGAAAATGATGTTGTCATGTCAAAGTGAAGTAGCAGTCTATGTCATCAGAATAAACCCGAAGATTACAGTAAAGGAGTAAGTGTGCTGGAATGCAGTTGTCTAAGACGATAGCAGGACTGGAGTGGTGGTGGTCGATTGCCTGGCGTCTCTTCGTCAAGCTGCCGTCCGTCCCGTGTACACTGTCTCTGGCTTCTCCTCACAAACCCCCCGTCATCACCACACTTCACGGCCTCTCTTCGTTTACGTGCCCTCTATTGTCCGTCTGATTTTCCGTTTGCTCACCGCCCATTACAGCACATGGGGACGGTTACAAACGGCTCTCGGGTGGGGCTCATTCCAAGGGAACGCCCTTGGTTTGAAGGAGGACGCCCTATATAGGTCACAAATTGCTTTCCTTGAATATCTGACTCCTTGAGTTCTAAACTCCATGGAAGGGTTACTGAACAAGTGGTAGAAGCGAGATGTGCGCAAAAAGTTACTTTCAAAGGTTTTGGCTGGGAAGCTCAGGGTTTTTGACGCTGATCTGGTTCTTCTGAGAGTGCTACTCTCGTTCAGAATCGTAGACGTTCTTCGAATAGAGTCTCGCTTATACAATGACTTGCGGTGGCAAGCCATTGAGCGCTCAGAGCTTTCATGAAGGGGTCATACTATCACAACGAAGAAATCCCCTCTGATTCAAGCTGAGCAACAATCCGTAATCCCCAGAAATCCACATTATGTGGTCTGAAATGATATTTGTGAATGCTTTCAATTCCGGGATGTACTCTTTCGAGTGGTTCGCAACGACGAAAATGATCCTTTCAACAACGATTCACACAAAGTTCATGCGTACATCTTGGTTGTGCACGTTCGCCCTCCCCCATAAGTTGTGCACAACGACCATGCTGTAACAAAGAATTTCTGCAATGGGTCTTTTTACCGAGCGTTAAACGCTCCTGTTGATATTGCACAAACCGCTTGCGAACGAAACTCTTCATGTGGTACTCAGTTCTACTTTTCGAATAATCGACAACTTAAACAAGGGAACCGTTCGTCAGGACTCCAGTGGAACAACAGTAAGGGCCGCCTCAAAGGCAGTTGGCACGATAACTTGATACTCGGCCTAAAATGCTAGCAGGGCGCTATATAGTGGGAAAATGGCGAAAGAACGGAGTGAAACGGTCAAAATCCTGCGAAGAAAAAGCCTTCGTTCTCAATGACTTAAAAATCAATTTTGGACGAGTTTCCCTCTAGGCATCTTTCCAGTAACCGCTACCGAAGATACGGCTGCATGTGTGTACTCATATATCCATGCAGCACCGCGGCCGCTTCATACCAATCCCTTCGCTTCATAATTTGCTTAGCAAATGAATGAATACGAGCGTCAGGAACGGTCGTCCATTTGTGGGCGGGCGGGCGTGGTGGGCGTTCGGGTCGGTATGTTGTAGCTTGATAGGTCCTTTTAAGAGTACCGCGCTACGCAGCGCCTGCTCAGAGGCGCAATTCCGTCCTACCAGGCGTATCAACCCTACTCGCCTTTAGGAATTTATCGTGCCAACTGCCTTCAACTGCATTTAGGAGCTGAAAGGCGTATGGATCAAATTTCCGAATTGACGTCTCATCCTTATGGAGTTTCCTGATTGCGCTTTTTCCGTCCCATGAAAAGGCATCGGTTTGAACCCAGAGATTGGACAGCGCCATGGTTGATACTGCCATCTCGATTTAAGTGAGAACGGTGTCAGAAAGCGTGGAACGGGCTCACCCCAGGCACTTGGAATGGCTGCAACCATCCGAAAATGACAGAGCTAGTCCATGTCACTAGAGGTAGCTTATAACAGCTTTTCTTCATGAAAGGCTCCGAAGAACACGTTATAAACCTAGGTAAAGATTTATACGAGCTCGAGAGATTGCTATCTTTTAATATCGCGATCGAGAACGACCTGAAGGGCTTCTTAAAAGTCTGTCTGAGCCACTCAAGCTCGGGCCTCAAACGCACGGGAACAGCAAGCGCAAAGTTTCCGACAAAGTCGTGCTCTCGACAGTGTGTGTTCAACCCATTTCTCGAAGCTGTTTTTATCCATTGAGAGAATTTACAGTCAAATAGGCACCCATTGTGTGTGAATATTATGCTGATATGGAACTTAGTCTGTACTTGAGTACATTCAGATCACCCGTGCAGCTAGCTCCATGACAGCAGATTTTGACATGGCGAACTTTTGTGGTCTCTCGACATTTCGAAACCCCACATTGCTAATGCCCTTATTTTACCAAAGTGCTGTGAGAATGGTTTACGTTTTCATGACCCACTTACTCGCTTCCTGGAAAACCATTTCACTATTTGGTTAGCTGAAAGTTGTGTCATGTTCTTGAACTGAAACCCCTCTCCTGAATCTAAAATCCTCACACTCGGAGTACCCTTCTTAATAGTACCACTCACTTGTTTTCTTTTTCTTCCTGGCTTGTAGTATAGACAACAATTCGTTCCCAAAAGGCAGCTTTTTCACTATAATGAGAATCGGTCTCTGAAATGTGATTTTGAAGTAGTCAGCTTAATTTTTTTTCTTCTACCACGCTGACTCGGACATGAGAGGTAAGAGCCGCCGGCCCTCCAGTGAAGGAGATGTAGGAAGACCATGCTTCTCGCTACTAGACAACCTTCTGAGAAGTGAATGTTTCAAGGCGAAGCGTTAGGCCTTGAAGACCAAGAGAAATTTTAATGCCCATTTGAACACAATCCGGAGCTGCGGCTTGTGAAATTACCGAGTGGAGAAGCTGTTTACGGGGTTTATCTCTACACGTATAAGCATCAGGTCAGAAGCCAGTCGTCGATGGGAGAGAAAGGTTTCTCCCGCAGAGTCTATTTAAACATCATAAGGTCTGACCGTGTACAAAGGGTCACACGGAAGTTGAAGAGCGCAGCTAAATTTCCGATTCCTAGG